AGAGAGAGAGAAAGTTCGAGAGAGAGAGAGAGAGAGAGAGAAAGTTAGAGAGAGAGAGAGAGGACAGAGAGAGAGAAAGTTCGAGAGAGAGAGAGAGAGAGAGAGAAAGTTAGAGAGAGAGAGAGAGGACGGAGAGAGAGAGAGACAGAGAGAGAGAGAGAGCGAGAGAGAAGACTTTGAGGAAGATGTTTCTTACAGCAAACCGAAGAGCTCCCTGTAGTTCTCGTCTCCTTTCCCCTCAGACACCAAACTGTCCAGCTTGTCGATCAGCTCCGCCTCCACCTGCGACAAACACAACACATAAATCCATTCAGATGAGATCAGTAACACCTGTGGTCACGTGACCCTAGGTGTGTCTCTACACAGCTTCCGTACCTGTTTGAAGTTCCCATTCTTGCGCTGCTCCCAGTCCATCATGTCGTGGAAGATGGGGATCATGATGTTGCGTACCTCCACCTGAGGGACCAGCGTGACTCCCAGGAACGGGCCGATCATCCCGGGGATGAAGTGGATCTTATTCTCACCTACGAACCCGACAAACAAGTAACCGCTCACCTTCAGCCAATCGGACGATAACCAACAATACTTTAAAACTAAAGTCCAAGCATCAACAGGAAAGGTTGAAATAGACACAAGCCGTGTTTCCATTCAATTGTCGAGTGAGCTTTAAGCTAAATATTTAAATGTCCCAAAAAAAGGAAATGCACATTAGGAGTGTTTCCATCAACTGATTTGGAGCGAATAAACCCGGCTAGTTTGGTCAGAAGGTGGCGCTATAGACTACACATGGCTGTAATCTACCAGTAAATAGAGTAGAAGAAGAAGCAGAGGCTGTGAACCAGAATTGAAACATGTTGATATCTAACGAGAGGTCTTCAGGAAGCTTTATGTCAGCTCGTATTGACCATGTTTCATGTTGTCTGGAGACAAAGACAATACAAATATAAACCCAGGACGACATCAGTCACGTGAGTTAAAACGTTCTCTACGTCAGAACATATCTGGTGTGATGCATCTAGTGTGTAAGACTTAAACACAAGACAGGACTGTTACACATTGTTACAAGAACAGTTTGTGATTCAAACGTCTGAGGACTTTTGTTTTAAACTGGCTGCAGAGTCGAGAGACTGAATATACGTAAAGTAATATGAACTCAAAGCTGAGCTCTGAAGACGCCGTTCTTCTTCTTCTTTGGGTCTTGTTGTTAATAAACCAGCTCAGAGGTGCATCACTAACATCTGCTGGACTGTTGTTTAGTAGAGATCTTACCAAGGTTCTGCCACATGCTGAAGAGTTCGTAGGTCATCATCACCCTCATGTCTCCGTACCTGCAGAGGGAACAAAACCACTTATTTAGGTTTAGGGAACAATAAACGCTGAGCTAAAGGAACTCGGTGCCTGAGGAGGGTTATTATGGGAGTCTGGGACTGTTTGGTGGTCGTTTGTAAAGCTGCTTCACTTCAAATAGGAAACATCAGGTTATTTCAACATCAGCAGCAATTTAGCTGCAGGTGACACAGCAGGAGGACAACAGTTATGTCTGTAAGTGTGTGTGTGTGTGTGTGTGTGTGTGTGTGTCCTTACTTGTCTAAGACCTTCTTCCTCTTAGCAGAACTCAGGCTTTCCAGCTGTAAACTGGGCTGGTTGATGTACAGCACCGCCAGGCTGAAGTAGGAGTTCCACACCTGTTCACACAAACAAACGATCACTGACATTATGAATGAATCACAAAGCTTTCATTGTTCAGCTTCTCAGTGTGTGTGAAAGTGAATGTCGAGCACAACATCAGAGCTGTGAGTAACGATGATTC